ACTGCAGGAACTGATGAGCAATTCATCCCCAAAGCTCATAGTAGAAGCACTAAAGTCTTTCAAAACATTCTCTTAGCATCTCCCCTCACTCTTCTTCCCTCTATTACATACATCCCTTCGGTTCTACCGAACTGAAGGGGTCCTGGGGCCGAAGCTAGCCGAAGGATCGGCCGAAGCTACGGCCAGATCCTTTGACAGCTTCGTGAATAGACCCCAAAATGTCTCAGATTCAGACAGGTATCCTAAATAATTAGAAAAAACTATTTGTTATTGTTTTGGGTCGGATTTATTTTTTTTATTTTACAAATAAACATGAAATACATAAATGACATGGATGCACCACAGAACAGAAAAAAATTGCTTTGGTCCTCAAGTGGTTATTCGTTGTGTTGTAAAAAATGTGTACGATGTTCTTTAAGGGATATTATTTCATGAAATATGTTTGGTCATGTTTGTGTTCACACACAAGCACACATACTGTATACAGAGTCTAATACATATGAAACAGCTCGATCAGTTGTTTTATTTGTTTTTGTTTTTTTGTGAAGGTGTTCATTGTAGTATGGAAGACATTTTATTCTGTAATCCTCGCCTGCATTATACTAACACAGATTTATTTAGTCAACGTATTTGTAATGACAAATGTAATAAGTTATAACACTTCTGACAGGTTGCATCATTTCTAGCAGTAGCTTACCCCCTGCTGTTTACAACTTTAGGTTTTGAAATTTCAACGAGATTATCCAAATCTTGACTTCTGTAACCAAAAATACAGTTACAAAAAGCAATGATTATTCACATTCATAACCCCAAGCTTGAGATGTTTCCCAAGTGACAACAAAACATGGATGTATGTACTTTAATTTTACTATCAACACAGTCATATGCAGTTGTAGGGTAGCCAACAATATTTGACCTTGGCTAGGGTATGCACAGCCAATACTCAGCTGTAAATGAGAACTCTGTGACACCATACAAATCCCACCAATTATCCGAGAGGTTAGCTAGTAGGTAGTCTAACTGAGTTTACAAGGTCATGTTAGATAACACTTGACAAGCGGCATCATTTCTAGACATAACTTACCCCTTTTTGTTTACAACGTTAGAGCTTGATACCCCAATGAGGTTATCCAGATCTTGACTTCTGTAACCAAAAAAAGAAGTGCATATTCAATATTTACTCACATGTATAACTTTAGTTTGGAGATAAAGTGGACCTGTTGCCAGGCTATGGACTTTCAGGTATTAAGACAGTAAAAATATAAACAAACAAGCCTTCACTGACCTATGTAACTGCAGGAACTGATGAGCAATTCATCCCCAAAGCTCACAGCAGAAGCATTAAAGTCTTTCAAGCCATTCTCTCAGCATCTCACCTCACTCTGCTTCCCTCTATCACATACACTGTCTTTAAATGAGGGATTGGAAGGTGGGAGGCTATCAAGTCACTGCTGGGAAGGGGTAACAGGGTGTGCTGATCTGCCTGAAAAAATAACATTGTGCTTCTGCTGTTTAGTATGAGGATAAATTGTTATATAGTGCATGCAGCCACAGTGGTCAGCAAAGGCTTGTTTTGAAGTAGTATGAAACCCTCAGGTCTATTTGTAGTTTTCCTTTTAGGTCCACCAAGGAAAGTGAAATTATAAAGTATTTTGCAGATATTTGCCTCATGTTCACATCACAGAAATGTCACACTTGTGTTTATTCAGAAGGCGCAGTGCTGTCTCAAGAGCCACTGTCAATCAATGCCATTGAAGGAGGAGCAGGAGAGTGGCTTAAAATGTAGGTGACATGGAGCGTTGATACGTCAGGATGTAGTCTGAACCAAAAATGCACACTTAAAGGTGGCTATGCTGGGGCTCCAGAGGGACCCTACAAGGTAGCATAGCCACCCTACGGGCAGAAATTGAGGACACAAAAATTGGAATGCTGTGTTAACAGAAATGGCAGCTGGCCACAAAAAGGGGACAGGAAACAAGGAAGTATATATATATACTCATTTGCTGCTTTTTGAAAATGCATACATACATGCTTTAATGTCTATAGTCTGTCCATGTTACATAACATGGAGGAATGCAGTTTGTATATAGACCATATATTTGTACGGTGGCTAGGGTGTGTACTGCCAATGTTCAGCTGCAAAAGACAAGTCAGCCAGATCTTTTCCAAATGAGTACCCTTGAAGTAAACACGGACATTTGGAGTAATGTTTTACAATAATGTGAAGTAGTACATGTACTAGGTGCTGCTCCAGGTTGGTACACTTGAATCTACTGACAGGGTGCACACACCAGCTTGCAACCACCCACGAAATACACTGTAACTATAAGGAAACACGGCACTCCTGTGTCAATTGAAAATCAGTGTGTAATCTTTAATTCATCAATCAGCATACAGCATTTATCTCATATAAAATCACTAACGTGTTTCATACATTTGTGCTTGATCAACCATATGCGTGAAACGCATTAGAGATTTTTTCTGAGGCATGCCGTAAGCTGATTGAGGACTTAAAAGTTACACACCAATCTTTGACACAAGAGTTCTGCATTTCCTTATAGTTACTGTGTATGCCGAGTAGTAGATCAGCCCTTGTATGGCCAATTTAAAACCCTGTTGAGAAAAGCATTTCATTTTAATTTGATTGGTTTTTTTAAATCAAAGTTTGCCAAGTTAAGCTAAGCATAAACATGAGATGACCATGTCCACCTTCAGTCCGACCAGACATTAGTCTTAGAAATGTGGATGCGTATGATCAACTGTCACAAGATGGAGGCATGCAAGATCACTTAATGATGAAAAACAGATGAAACTTTTGAGTTTTTGTATTTGTTGCTTGTAGAAATATTTCAACACGTTGGATAAAGTCTTAGGGCTTGTTCATACCAAATCTGGACCAGATCTGCATGAGTTTCTGCATATGCAATGCAGTGCGTTTTTTACACGTTTTCTTTTTTAGCCTAAAATGGGCTTTCAGTGCATTCCAGGATGTTTGCATGTGTTTTGGTGCGTTTTTAGAGCAGAAAAATAGGGCATGCTCTGTAACTGAACGCTGTGGTGTGAACACTAGCCCAAAATACTATTGGAATACATTGGATGCATTTTTGATGCATTCTGTAACTGCTCTGCAACTGCTCCGCACTTGGTATGAACAAGCCCTTAAACTAATTGGACATCATTCACTTTTCTCCATAGGAATGGTAACAGTGCTAACCCTGTATCACAATTTCTTTTCATGTCAAAAAAGAAACCGAAACTGCAGCAGCTCTGCGATTGCAACAAAGACAGCACCTACTGTGCTGCATCTAATTGCCTCTAGCTGACTGTCAATGAAAGTTCATGGTCACTGGGCAAAATGGGCAGCACATACAGTATTTTGCATGGGTTATGCTATTGCATGTAAAGCATTTAATATGTAGCATTGCTATATAATTGCAAGTATAACATATCTGATTGATTTTTTTCTGATAACTAAACATTTTTGCTACCTGTACTACCTTATTAAATAAAATGGCACAACTTTATTGTATACAAATGAATATTTATTTGTTACATACCTTTGCTTTCGCTCAACTGCAGTTCTTCTTTCTCCACTGTCAATTGGAACAGGCTTAGCAGGGTATGCAGGTCTAAAATAAAAATATATTTATTATTCTACATTATATTAGTGTATGTGTATTTATTAAGAAGACACTCACCAAAGGATTATATATACTAATATTAAAAAAATGTTATGTTTGCATTTAGTGTTGTCACACTAATGTTGTCACATCAAATAAAGTTGCGTGATCGTGTAAGGTTACCATTGTAAACCTCCAAGCTGAAGTTATAGGGGTCTATTCACTAAGCTGCCGTAGGCAGCCGAGTGAATAACCGACCCAAACTGAAGTGAGCCGAACGCTGTTCGGCTATTCACTTCAGGCTTGTTCAACCGTACACCAAATAAAATCAGCTGTACATCGGCTTGCTGCGGCTGGCTTTGGGTCGGCCGAACATGCTCAGCATGTTCGGCCGACCCGAAGTGCAGAAGGAGTTCGACTCAGCCGATCCAACATCTGGATCGGCTGAGCCGAACCTCCGGCAGGCTACTCGCTGCTGTTCGGCCTATTCTCATAGATGCCGAACAGCAGTGAGTGAAAAGCTCAGCTATTCTGCCCGGTACCTCTGTGGTACCGAGCGGAATAGAAAAACAGGTAAAAAAGTAGAAAAAATAAAATAGAAAACAATTGGGGCGGAGCTAGCAGTGACAGCTAGCTCCGCCCAACTGTTTTCTATTGGCCGGGCGGTTCTGCTGCCGTCAGAATATTTTTTTTTTTATAAAAAAACACTATAGGAATGCATAGCTAGATTCCTATTGGCTATTTCACTTTTTCACCGAGGCATATGCCTTCGGCTCGACTGAGCCGCTCGGCTTACTTCGGGAGCTGTATGGGCTATAGTGAATAGCCTGTACAGCAGCCCTTCGGTTCTACTGAACCAAAGGGGTCCTGGGGCCGAAGCTAGCCAGAGGATCAGCCGAAGCTACGGCTAGATCCCTCGGCAGCTTTGTGAATAGACCCCATAATGTTGCCAGTATTAACTTTAATTATTGGTTAAAGCAGTTCCCAGGCAGCGAAAATGCATCTCTTATTAGAAAAGACATGTGTGATCCAAAGAATGGTTAGCTCTATCAGAGTTTTTTTCACATCTGTTTTTGTTTTATGACAGATTCCCTTTAAAAGGCTTAGTTCACCTAAAATTACAATAAAGGTGACATCTTGAATCCCCTGTTGACTTCCTATACCACTTGGGGATACGGTGAAAAAACTTTGCAGTTCATAGCTCTGCCCATCTGATGAAACCATTATGAAGTCGATTTTTTATTTATTGCAGCATCGAATGAATGCAGGAATTAAATCTCCTCTACATAAACAGAATAATTAAGTTAAATGTCTCCACTTTCTTTGAGGAGAAAGTGAAATATCCTTTGCAAGGAAAGGGGAGAATGAAAAACCTTTGTGGAGAAAGTTTAATGTCCTCTACATAGACAGAATAATGAGTAAAACCTTTGTAGAGAAAGAGAAATGTCCTCTGTATGGACAAGAAACCCTTGTGGAGAAAGTGACATGTCCTCGGCATGGACAGGAGAACAAGAACCTTTGTGGAGAACGTGAAATGTCCTCTGCATGGACAGGAGAACAAGAACCTTTGTGGAGAAAGTAAAGTGTCCTCTGCATGGACTGGAGAACAGGAAACCTTTGTGGAGAAAGTACAGTGTCCTCTGCATGGACAGGGGGACAAGCAACTTTTGTGGAGAAAGTGAAATGTCCTCTGCATGGACAGGGGAACAAGCACTTTTGTGGAGAACGTGAAGTGTCCTCTGCATGGACAGGAGGACAAGCACCTTTGTGGAGAAAGTGAAATGTCCTCTGCATGGACAGTGGAACAAGAACTTTTGTGGGGAACGTGAAGTGTTCTCTGCATGGACAGGAGGACAAGCAACATTTGTGTAGAAAGTAAAATGTCCTCTACATGGACAGGGGAACAAGAAACATTTGTGAAGAAAATGAAATGTCATCTACATAGTCAAGAGGACAAACAACCTTTGTGGAAAAACTGAAATGTCCTCTACATGATCGGGAGGACAAGCATACTTTGTGGAGAAAGTGAAATGCCCTCTGCATGGACAGAAGGACAAACAACCTGTTTGTTGGACTTCCTAACAGACATGGGAAGCTTGCATTGATCCAAGGTTTGCCCATAACCAGGTTTTTGTTTATTGTGTTATTAAAAACAAACCCTACAGTACTAAAAAATGTGTTGTTTTGTTTTTATTTTACTGTGCCCCCCATTGAAGAGATTTCCCATCACTTCTTGTTCTGACAGGAAGTGAGAAGAAATCTCCCTAAAAAGGGCACAACACAAACAGCAGTAAAGACCTGACAGAAGCTCCATCTCTCCCCAAAACAAAATAAAAAGTTTTGACTCAACATAAGCTTCAAAAGTCCACCACCATACTGTTATTTAAATTCTTTATCTTTTTAGCACTATTATCTCCATTGGATCAGTACAAAGTAATGTATATAGTAGAGGGAGGGTAGTATAGATAATACCATACTAAAATGTTCCACTAGTGCATGGAGTTGTTTAGAAAAATTTGGCAATAACAAGAAACAACAGTAGAAAGCCTTTGTCTGTATGAGCTTCCATCTACAGGAATAGGGTTAGAAACAGGAGTAAGCTGTATATGTGGTGCCAAAGTGCATTTTGTCAGATGAAGAAGACGTGATCAATCAGTCACTGCACAGAATAATTTATCTAGCAATGTAGCGTTGTCTGAATATCTGACTTTTAAGGAGTATGAGTAAATATATACCTGATGTCATTTCTGGCTGGTGGAGAAGTAGGTGGACTAGGCTTTTCTTCCGCTTTTTCAAATCTATGAATGACAAAGCACAGGGCGCAACTTAATCTCATGGAGCAGTCTTGAATAAAACAGTACAAAATACATCACATAATTGCATGCAAGTGTGTAGGCTTTTGTTGGAATTTCTCAATTAGCTATATACTGCTTACAGCAGAGACATTGTAGTTCATATCCTGTGTGTGCAATCAGAAGGGTGAGCGGTTACTATAGCAACCCTGAAAATGTAAATGTCTATCGCTTCCAGAACTGATGAGATTAAGACTAGCTGAGTGATATTAACCCACACATTTCCTTACAGGAGACCACCATTCATTTTATGTGTTAAAATGCTTCATGCGTTTAGCTCCCCTAAGGTGACACATTTGCTTTGATTTTTTTTCCTTTTGATATATCCAATAAATGCGTTGGAGCCTTGTGTTATCAGTCAACATTGTGTTTTGTCTTATACTGTCCTAACCTTTTAGTGTATTTTCTAGAAGCTCCACAAATTCTATGTAATATATTGTTCCTTATTGTCAGGATCCAGAGCACCCCCAGGTGGCGCTGGAGCCAGGTCCTGTAGTTCCTGTGCTCGCCTGCGGGTGTCTCCAGCAGCCAGGAACTGTCAGGAACCTGCAGCTCCAGTACTCACCTGCGGGTGTGCCCCAGCTGTGACTGATCATCCCATCACCTGGTGCTTCCTGGGAGGGTATTTAAGCCCTCCCTGCAGTCAGGAAGCTGGCTCAGTATTGCGTCGCCTGCACCTGACTGACTCCCCTGGCCTGTGCCTTGGAACCTGAACCCTGCTACCTGAACCCTGCTACCTGAACCCTGCTACCTATCTGCAACCCTGTCACCGACCCGGCTTGTTACCCGACCACTGTCCTTGGATCCTGTTTTTACACGCTAATTGTGACATATTGAGCAGATTGCGGCAGATGGTGAGCAGATTGTGGCATATTCATGTGCATGGGCAAAACACGCTAAATCTGCTCAAAAATAATCACAACACGCATTTTTTAAGCGTTTTCTATTGAGTCAATGAGGAGAAAACAAGCTGAATCTTCCCCAAAGTAGCTCATGTAATATTTTGTGCAGGCGTATTTTTGCTTTCGACAAAACGCCCAGATGTGAACAGGGGCCATAGAACCAAATGGATTCCTGAGGTCGAGCGTTTTGTTGCGCTGATTGACGTGTGACAATACGCTTAGGTGTGAATGGAGCCTAAGTGTTATTTCTTTGTCTTTATTCTGTTTGCAAAAAAGCATATGTAATGGAAGAATTTTATTGTAAAATCATTTTTTGTGTTGAGGTCTATGTATGTCTGTAGGATTCTCACTTTTGGCACATTTTGGGGGTACAAGGACTGTGGCTTATGTGTGCAGTAAATACAGTAAACAAGCTCAGGTTCTATTCACCCATCCCCTCTAAGTCACTCACAATGTTTAATGCAATCTGGACATGTTCACCATTCATAAAATTCCTCTCATTTGTGTGCTCAAGGGTGCCCTAGGTCTTTCACAATGCTTGACTCATTGCTAAAACACATTGCTGTCATAGGACATCTGATTATGTATCCTACTTCAGGTTTGAGCACTCTAGGAATCACAAATTCTTTAATACCGTCACTGACACTACAGAAATATCCATAATACTTACACTTAAAAGAACAAAGTATAGCCAAACCTTTTTTCACGTTACTTCTCTTTTGGGTCACAGGAGTGCATTAACTAATTAATTCCTGTGACCCAAACTTAGCATATAGTGGGCTATTTCATGACATGGAGCCGGTTTCCCGTGCAATCTGATTGCCTGAGAAGCCGGCTCCAGCTTGTCTGGGCGGCTGGATTGTGCTTGGCCGGGAAACCGTCTTCCAGCATATCAGCATAGAGTCGGGCTACCCAGCTAATCAGGAAACCGGGAGGCGGGTCATTACTCGCCTCCCAGCTTCTGATCACACTGGAAGCTGGCTCCATGTTCCCCTTCCTCTGACCAGAAGTTCCGGTATCGGGGAAGGTATCGGAGCATTTGTGCAAGTACGAGTACTCGCCCAAATACTCGGTATCGGCACTGATACAAGTATTGATGCATCCCTAATTCCAGCAATATTGGGATCCACCCAGCTGCCTGATTGACAGCTGGCTCAGCCTCTCTATAGCCAGTTGTGCCCACACCTTCCCTTCTCTGTCCCTCCAATGAGCACTGGAGTAACAGAGGGGGAGTGGGGAATCCCTGCGGGGTGGGGTGACTGACACTCCCTACTCTCTGCAAGAAGGAGATCATGAGCTGAGCGATGAGCAGTTACATGCTCACTCAGCTCTCGATCTATAGAGTTGATGTGTGACAGCTGCAGCGTCCCACGCCAGCTGCAAGTATTGTATGTTTTACTTTACTGACCACAGATACCTATGATAATTTCAAGTGCACTCAATACCCTGCCAAATATCATTTAGTATTGACATTTACTATAAGTTCATTGTATTGGATATGTTTATTATGCTAAAATGTGTAGCACCCGCAAACCACTAATTGTTGGTACGTCACCTAGCATTTACATATACAAGACCTTAGTTGCAATGAAAAGCAACTACTGGCAACAATACCTTGATCTGACACTGTCGATAAAATTGGTTTTTGTAGGCTTATCTGTAGTTCTGGTGTCTGATGAGTAGATAGTGCTATATAAATACACAGAGATATAATGATTAGTTTAGTCATTCGATCATATGAAATGCCAAAATAAACACTTGTTATCAGTGGATAAGTGCTCCTAATGTTACAAAATATACTAAAAGCTGCTTTAGCAAATCCATAAAATAAGGAAAGAGGAACTTTATCTATATATTTAAAATAACAACAAACACACCTTTAGAAATGTTTAGTAATGACAATCTACAAACACATACTTCTAGATACTTGCCGGCTTTGTATTCTTTGCATACCTTATTTCTCTTTTCTTCTCCAGTCTTCTGACATAGGCCATGTTAACTAAAGGGCAGATTACTACCTCTCCATTTACTTCCTGGAACTCTGGCACTTGTCACTAGACATGTGACCTTGCACATCATCTCAGGGGAGGAAAACACCTTTTCCTGAGATCTCATGAGATTACAGATGAGATTTCAAAGCAATGCTCTGCTGATGTAACCTTCCCAAGATGCTTTGACACTTACAACATTTGTGTCAGAACTAGACCAGGAAGTAGATGACCTCTATTTGTAAGTAAATGAATAACACGTTTATTTAACTAATGAATGTAAGATGATTTTAAATTAGCATGCAGAGCTGCATGTTGGTGTGATTTTTAGTAAAAGGGGGTAAAGTTCCACTTTAAATGAAGTGTAAATCTTGATATGATCCGTAATGATGTGGTGACCTGTAAATATGTCTCTTATAACAATGTTTTGGCACAGGATCTTTTGGTTCCTTTTGGGACACCTCACAACAGTCAGACTGGTTATATTGTTTTCCTTTTCACAAAGATCTAATCCACATTAGACAGTTTCCATACCTTGCAGTGATAGCTAGCAATCCCAAAACCACTGTATGCAAATTTGGCAAATAACTTTAGGCCTGGTTCACACCTGGGCGTTTTACAGCGCGTTCCTACTCGCTTTAAAACGCTCAACATGGGAAAACCAATAATTGCCTATGGGCATGGTTCCCACCTGGGCGTTTTACAGCACGTAGGAACGTAGCTCCTGTACTTCTTTGGGGCGTATTTGCCGCGTGTATCCATCAGGATACAGCTGGTTAGCCCTCGGAAACGTGCGTTTCTTTTACCGCAAATCGCGGTAAAAACGTGCGGCAAACGTGCATGTTCTGTACGCCCAGGTGTGACCCCAGCCTGTTCTATGCTGTATCTACACTGCAAGCCAGCAGTTTTGAAGGCCACAGAAACGTAAAGAAATAATTTGCACGGCTCCATGCTCTAACCTTAAATTAAAATATACTCCTTGTTTTCTGGATTAGTATACTGATGGAATGTAACTATTTTCTATTTTAAAAAGGCAATGCTGCATTCACACTATTTAAGTAAAGAGTTTAACCTTTTGAAAAAGAAGCAGTCATTGTTGTGCTTATGCTAGCATCTAAGTACTTATTCTTAAATGCTAACAACTGTGAAGGATTACTTTTGAAATATTTTTTTTTATCTTGATTTGATTTTGATGGATTTGTTGCCTTGCTTATCTTTAATTTAGCTGGGCTTACACAGATTCAATTTCAGCCATTTTCTGCTTCATCAGCCAAAATTCAACCCATGGGTGGCCCTGCCAGTACCACCCAGCTCAACAAAACTTGATTTTGAATCTATTTAAATGAAAACAAATTGTGGCGAGAAGCTTTAAAAGGAATACAATGCACAGCTTTAATAAAGGTTTAGATGAATATTTGGATGCTTTCATCAATCTTGAGGTCTCTTCAACTTGGCTAGTTATACCATATAAGAAAGGGGTTCATACCAATGTAATTAGCATACGAAAGGGGAAAAAAATAATTTCAAAAGTTAAATTATGTTTATTATAATAGATGTTTCTAATTACTTTGATATGATTTCCTCTCTTATTTAATTGAGCACTTTAATAAGCAGTAATAATGCTGTTAATAAGAGGTCTTACATTTTTTGTGCATCTGTCTTGGTGGGCACAACCCTGTTGATAAGTAAAAAGTAACATAATTATTTAATAAACATGGCAACCGCGTAATTTGTAGCTATATAGATGAATCTTTGTACACACCTTTACTATACATTACAAATGTCTGTACAGTTGCTATGCAATGTAATTGGTGCACAGTGGCAATTCCATTAACAATTAGCTATACATACATGGTCCAAAACACAGATTTTAAACAAAGAAACCAACTTGATGTCAGCGTCTTATAAAACTTTACTATTCAACACAATTACACAGAACCCCCC